GTTTTAAAAGATTTTAGTTGATTAAGTCTAAAGTTGGTAATATTGTATAAGGGTTTTTGATTGTGATTGAAGTAGAGTCAAGTAAATCTTCAGTCGATGTCTTGGCTGAAGTAAGACTATTTACTGTTTTGTTTTGTGATGCCCATATAGCTAAGATGTGAGCTTTACAGATTTGTTTAATGAAGTGCCTTGTAGGAAGTTCTATATAATGTGTTCCTATTAGAGAATATGATAAGGATTGTAAAGATTTGTGTAGTTAAATGAAAGAAATGGTGACAGTATGTGTTGTTTAGCGAGAGAGTCTGCTTGCTTATTAAGATGATTGTTTGAATGAGCCTGTATTTTGTAAAAAGTAATTTGTAATTTATATGATTTAATAATGTTTAGAAGAGTGTGCCAAATTGGCTATGAATTAAATTTAAGTAACTTGTTAAGGTAAATTGGCTTAAGTTGAAGATTGTTAAATTTGGAGATTACTGATTGAGAGTCTGTAAAAATATTAATAATACAGTTTCGAGGAGCAGTTAAGATTGCAGTAATAATTAAGAATAGTTCTGCTTTGTAAGATGAAGGCCAGAATTTGATTTTAGCAAAGAAGAAATTAGTAATTTGGTTATTATTATTGACTTGAATCCAACCAATGCTCATTAGAAAGATAGTTGCTGGTAGAGAGGTTGTGATGTGAAATGGATATAACAGTCGATCAACATTTCACACAGATCATGGGGTAAATTTTTTACTATGAAATTTGAGTGATCGACATTCATATATAAGGCCTAATTTTGGTAGTAAATTGCAACAACTGACTATTTTTAACTGATAGTTTCAAAGGTTTCATAAAAGGAAATCATACTCACGAGACGGTATAATGATTCAAAAAATTAAATACAGTATTATGGATAATTTCAAAGTGAAATAGAAAGTAAACTCCAAAATAATCTCGTCCACAAAGATAGCCTTTCGTTTCATAATATATAGCACAATATTATAATAGATCATACTTCTCTGCTTTTAAAATATTGCAAGTAGTTCTAATATTTTTTATTTTATTTAATGTGTTGGTAACTAGGATTTCTAGTAACCTTTTAGAGCTTATCTCTTACTCCGTTTACATAACGTACTTTTAACTCTTTCAATAACGAACTGAAGATCCTAAAAAAAAAGTTCGTTATAGAAAATTGCAGTTCTTTTTAAAAATCTATAGCATTTTTTATATGAACTATTATGAAATTTTTTGAGTTCGTTATTAGAAGGTTTGTTATATTCAGACATGACTATATACTGCCATATAAGCTATGATTCAATATTGAAAAGATAAGACAAGCAGCAAATTTTTTATTACTAACTGAAATGAATTTAGATTTTGAAAATCAGTGTCAATTAACTTATTTTTAATATACCATTGGGAGCACTTAATATAGGTTTATAGATTGAATTCTTGTAACAATGCTATTAGTAATGCACTTAGAAATTTTTTTGAGAAGGCTTTGAAAAATCTGATAAATTAATAGCACTCGATCAACTAAGTTCAAAATTTTAACTTGTATTTTTTTTAATTAATTAATTTATTTATTTATTTAGATAAGACAGATACCAATTGTAGCATGTGAGCGCAATTGCGAAAATGGAATAACTAGATTCAATTTCAACTTTGCCTCTCTTTTAAGCTGTGTACGAAAATTTGGATTTTTGCATTCTTTATATCACTCAGGTTATTAATTTCATAGTTTGTGCCTGGCTCGAACATCTTGCAACTATTCGAAATTAGTTTTATCTCGAGTTATTATATCAAATTGACGATGTAAGTTAGATCACAAATTGAAAATAATAGTCGTTTTTTATTATTATCAAGCGAAAGACAGCCAAGTATTTTTATGTTTTTAAAAAAATTATAACAATAGAATATAAATAAATAATATAATGATAATTATAATAATAAATGCATATTTCTTTTGAATTTATTAAAATTTTTGATACACGCCGAAGTACATAAGTGTTAAATACTTTTTTTGGTCTTGTTTCATTTTATTCTGTCCTGGAACATCCCAACTTTGTCCCATCAGTTTCTCAATTTTTTGCTTAAAGCTAAAGCTACATTAATAAAATATATACGAATTTAATTATAAATATTTTTAAGAGTTGTCTTAATAAAATCTTAAGTTATTGATATTTTTTCTAAAATTTCAAATTTGTTCCAAATTTGTCTTAGCTATCCTGTGTCCAAGATTGCCCATGAGTAGTAGTAGTTTGTAAAAAACAAAATCCAAAATGATTATAAACCTAGATCAGAGCAAAAATTTTAGTAGCATTTTTCTGTTAACTGTAACATATCAGAAACCAGAAATAAGAAAAAAATATTATCTCAACTCCTATAGCTTTTTTTTTGAATGACTTAGCGCACCTAGAAAGCGTTAAACATAACATAATTATTTGAAAAAGAATAAACCAGTACCAGAACTTAAGACATAAGGAATGATCAAATATTACCCAATTATTTAATTTAAAATTTAAAACACATCTGTAAACCAATTCGGATAGCCATTTGAGAAAGATTGACAAGTTTCAAAGGCTTCAGTATAGGATCTTCAGATTTCTGAGGTTTTATGAAGATCATTCTAATCTGGAGGTTTCAAAGATATCGACAGAAGACTTTGAATTCGAAGATTTAGATCTAATAGAAATAAACTTGAATGGTGTAAGATTATCAGAAATTAAAAGTTTCGTTTAAAAACTATACAAATCCTTAATATTATGCCTGGAGTATAGCTTTGGCTTTATTTGATGATCACATGTATAGCTTTGTCTTTATTTAATAATCGCATATGTAGCTTTGTCTTTATTTGATGATCATAATCTAAATCGCTCAATTGGATATGAACTCCGCCACCTATATTCTTAGAAAATTCGAGTGCAATAGTGACCAATCATTCTATCTTAATAGATCTATCATAGTAAGGATAAAATGTATAAATAGTGGTCTATTTAACTTTAATAATTATTTTAAACTACATCACTTTTCTACATTAAAGAAATAAAATAAATTTTTAATTCAAATCATTATATTTAATAAACATAAAAAAATGGAAGAATTCATACCTGAAACTTTGTTTGAGCTTGAAGAATTTCCCAATAACCCTAGTCAAGAATCTGATACTGACATTGAACAAATGATAGTGGATGATAATACTCTTACATTTGATTTGCATTCATTGAAAAAAGTACAAGAAATAATCAGATCCACCAAGGAAACGGAAGAAGAATTACTTGGGGTGATGAATTATTCGAGAGTGATGAATTATTTGAGAATGATGATATTGGGATAGAAATATTTGAGAAGGAATTTGATGAGCCCCTTGTTGCTTCAGATCAACCTAAAAAATTTACAAATTGTGTTATTATTAACAATGATAATGATCAAAACATAATCAAAAGATGCAATAATGTGGGAGTTCGAAGAGTAGAACAACTGTCTGGTATGTGGAAGGTTGACTCTCAAGCTGTAAAGGATGTTGTTAACTCTCGAGCTATAGAGGATGTTGTTTATTTTGAGGTTATAAAGCTAGGTATTTGTTTGCACCATCTTAACTATGACCAAGCTTGGTTACATTCTGGCATAAAAAAAAATCTAGAAATTGAAGAAAGTAGAATTACATCACGTCGTTGTTTATTTTGCAAAACAATCAAAAGCTTTTTTACAAGAGGTGAAACTTGTTCATTACATACTTGGAAAGTTTATGAACGTACAATTCAAGTTCCATGCTGTGGGATATATAATTGTCTAGCAATTACTGAATATGAAGGACTATCGACTAAATCATTAAATAATGATAGACCTCGATTTGTTTGCACAAATTGCTTTGAAATGCATAAAGGTAATTTACATATTTGTCCAAAAAGCGGAAATAAAAATCCAAATGTAACATGTCTAGACCAGGGAAAACACAACTCCGATGCTACACTTGTCTTAAAGCTATTTAGTAAATGGATTGAACAGATTGTCAAATCAAATAATGATCTTGCAAAAATTAATTTATTAAAAGAGCTTGTAAAATTTCTAGGTAATATTACCACAGACATTTTTGAACCACAAGATACTGTTGTTATACCTTCAACAATTTATAAAAAATCGGTTGTTCCTAGTTTTTTTTTAATTAAAATAGCATTCGCATTAAAACAAATTAATGTTAGTGAAAGAACACAAGCAGTACAGTTAAAGACCACTATATGCAGAGACTTTGGAAAAATACTTGCAAGCTCTGTATTATGACAAAGCTTGGAATTAAAAGAAAAATTACCATCACTTGAAGAGCCAAATTCCCTAGATGAATACTATGATGCTATGCTTTCATCTCTTGTAAACTTTTTTTCTAGCTTTATTACAATAATGAAAGAAAATAATAATAAAGTATTAGCTAGAAAACGAAAAGAGCGAAACTTATCTCCACCCGAGTTAGATAAAAGAAAAATAAAAAAGCTTTCACTTTTTTTTACTTCTGTGCTGCTTACTATCGCCTTTCCGCATTGGAAAATTTGGTTTACACATGTGCTTTCTTCTCTTTGTCTATGACCGAAGATGATAGGATATTTGTATAAAGTTCTTTATACAGTTCAGGTCATAGCTTATGTTAGAAATCATGAAACATTTACTCAAAAAAACGAATGTCAGCTGTGAATCCTTGATCAAGACTCGATTTACGTCCAAATATCTTGAATATTGCAGTTATCCCTTAATTTGTAAACTTTTCCAGGCAAATTTGTCTAGAAAATTGTTAAAAATATGCTTATGATTTACATTTTTTAAATTTTAAAATATTTAAATAAAATTTTATTTGATAATA